CGGGCCTCTCGCTATGGCGGCCTCTCTTGTTGCGGAGCACAGGCTCCAGACACGCAGGCTCAGTAGTTGTGGCTCACGGGCCTAGTTGCTACATGGCATGTGGGATCCTCCCAGACCAGGGCTCGAACCCGTGTCCCCTGCATTAGCAGGCAGATTCTCAACCACTGTGCCACCAGGGAACCCCCGGGAACTCTTGATCCTCTTCACTCTACTCTGTTCTTTCACTCATCACCCATCCTTCATAAGGTACTGTGTAATTTACATATTTATCATGTTAATTGTTTATTGTTCGTACTGGAGGGTAAGTTCCATCAGGGCAGAGTTTTATAATGTTTTGGGTGCTCATTTTCCCATGTGCCTAAAAAAAGTGTCTGGCAGAGTGTCTGGCTCATGTGTGGAATGAATGAATGGTGGACACGGGAGGAGTAGGTATAGGTGAGAGCGTGGAATGAAGGCCTTTGCTCGAGATGCTTATTAGACATTCAAAATATGTTGGAGAGTTGGATATACTGGTTTGGAATCCAGAAAAAAGGTCGTGCATGGAGATGTATTTTTAGTAGTCAACAGCATATTGACAATAGATTCTTAAGGCCATGGAACTGGATAAGATCATGTAGGGAATTATGAGAAGTCTGGAGTAATTAACTGGGTCAGACACTGCTGGGAGGTTATGTTGAGGACTGAGACTGACCATTGGATAGCAACGTGAGGTTCTTAGCAAAACAGTTTCATGGAGCGGTTGGGATGAGACTCTGATTGGAGTGAACTCAGAAGACAAAGGGAGTTTAAGTTGTGGAGAAAGCGAGTGTAGCCAAAATTCTTTTGAGAAATTATTACCAAGGGGTGCAACGAAATAGGGTGATATCTGGAAAATATCCAGCATCTGGAAGGCAAAGCGTCAAGGGGGGTATGTCTTTTTTTAGGACAAAAGATATTACAGTGTGTTTACATTGTGATGAGAATGATCCAATAAAGAGAGAAAAAAACAGGTTATTCAGGAGAATGGGGGAGAACCACAAAAGGCCCTTAAGGAGTAAGAAGTAATGTTATACAGTGCACACAAATGATGGGATTAGGAAAGAGTGAGTTTATTTGGATAAAAGACAATTATAATTTTTTTAAGATAAGAGATTGAGGATCTGAACAGTGAAACTAGAAAGGAGGAGATAGATATGTAAGAAGTAAGCACAGAGAATCAACATATTCTAGTCCTGTATGGAGGAAGAACTTCTAGAACAGTGGTTCTCAAACGTGAGCACGTATCAGAATCACTTGTAGGATTTATGAAACACGGATTACTGGGCCCAGCCCACAGATTTCTGATACAGCAGGTCCAGGATTGCATCTGAGAATTCGCATTTTTAACGAGTTGCCGGTGCCTCTTTCTCAAAGTACCACGTGGAGTCTAGCAACATCTGTATCCCTCAGGAGCTTATTAGAAATGCAGAATGTCCAGCTCCACTCCAGACCCATCTGATCAGATTCTGTCTTTTAACAAGTGATTTATTTGCATGATGAAGTTCGAGAATCACCGTTCTAGGATAGTGTGTTCAGCCTTGTCCCCAGGTGATTCCAACATGCAGCTATGATTGAGAACAGCTGACTCAGGGTGACCCCAAGGTATATTGCCTGCATGACTAGGTGAATGTGAAGTGTCATGAAATAAGATAAAAAATTCATAAGGAGGAGCAGGTGTGTGGAGGTTGACAGAGTGCAGCTTTTGACACGCTGTATTTGAAGATTCCTTTGGGACATCAGCTGAAGCTCTTCAGTTGAGTATTTAGATCTTGAAGCTGGGAGAGGGATGGAAGATCTATCTCACTCAATGACAGATCTGAGCATCATCAGCATGGAAGTAATAATTCACATTAGGGGTGTTGAGGACCTCAGCTCAAGAAAATGAGAAAACTGGCAAAGAGGTCCAAGGAAGGCACGTGAGCCAGGGTAAAAGGAGAGAACCCTGCAGAGGAAGTGGGAAGAGCAGTGTGAAAGGTGTGAGCACAGGCAGGAGTTGGCAGGACGCAGAAGCTGAAGTGAGGGTTGTAGACAGAAGGAAGAATCAGTGATGTTTTCTGTCTCAGGAAGTTCCAGTGGGGCTTCCCTGGTGGCACAGTGGTTGAGAATCCTCCTGCCAGTGCAGGGAACACGGGTTCTAGCCCTGGTCTGAGAAGATCCCATGTGCCACGGAGCAACTAAGCCCATGCGCCACAGCTACTGAGCTTGCGCTCGAGAACCTGCGTGCCGCAACTACTAAAGCCCGCACGCCACAACTACTGAGCCCATGTGCCACAACTACTGAGCCTGTGAGCCACAACTACTGAGCCCGCCTGCCGCAGCTGCTGAAGCCCACACGCCTAGAGCCCGTGCTCTGCAACAAGAGAAGCCACCGCAATGAGAAGCCTGTGCACCGCAACAAAGAGTAGACCCCGCTCGCTGCAACTAGAGAAAGCCCACGCACAGCAACAAAGACCCAACGCAGACAAAAATAAATAAATAGATAGATAGATAGATAGATAAATAAATAAATAGACTTATTTTAAAAAATAAAAAAGAAAGTTCCAGTAATATAGACTGAAAAATATCAGTTATCTGTCATTTGGGAAATCACAGGTGGCCTTGCCATGCACAGTTCTGGGCAGGGGTAGCTGCAAAGCCGTGGGGCAGAAGTTTTAGCAGGAAACAGGAGACAAGGAAGTGGGATGGTCAGACACGGACGACCGTTCCAAGAAGCTTGGCTGTGCCGAAAAGGACAGAGTGAGTGCTAGAAGATGTCAGTGGAAAGCAAGTTTTCAACTTGGCCAAGACCGGAATCTTGCCACTGGCCATTAGGAAAGAGCCATTGGTGGGTCAAGGGGGAAACTACTGAATCAAGATGTCGGGAAGAATGGAAGCCAGGGCATCCGTGGGGTCAGCGTCAGTAGGAGCAAGAAGGTGGGTATGAATATAGATAAATTTGTAGTTGAGGGGTTGGGAAGTGGGAAAATTTACGTTTAATATCTTCAATTTTCTCTAGGAAGTAGGGGTCAAAGTCATTTGCTTGGAAAGAGTTGGGGGGGGATCTTGGAGATGTATTTTTTAAATTTTCATGTACTTTCACAAAAGATAAAAACTCCTGTCTATATGTAAAATATATCATATACCTAGATTTTTAAAATTATGTATCATAAACTTTGTTCCTTATGAAATAACCCATTTCCAAACACTGACCAGGAAAGATTACTATTAAGAACACCCAAAGATGAATTCCTACCCGATATCCTTATTTTCAACCTTAATTTTCCTCCAGCGCTTCCTCCCTGTTTCACTTACAACTAAAATTAGTTGGTTTTTTTCTGATAATTTCTCGTTGTATCTCTCTTCTGCTTGTTAAGTTAATCATTGGGGTGTTTGTTCTTGCTGTTTCCCACGTGATGAAGTGTTTCTACTCTCCCTGTTCTCACCATTCCCATCTCATTCAAATTAATTCTTTTCAAGCAAGATTTCTGAATGCCAGACCTCTCCTTGTAATCTCAATGACATGAAGATAGCCTTTATGTTTTTGAGTTATAAATATAATACATTCCTATATAGAAATGTAAACCATATAAAGGAGGAAGTAAAACGTCAGTTCCCAATTGTGTGTGTGTAGGTGTGTATGTTTGTGTTGCTTTCTGTGACCCTTTACATAAAGTCCCAGTCAAAGTAGGTTGGAAGGCGGTAATTTGTCTCCTAATCCTGGATAGGAAACCTGGAGGGGATGGCCTATTTTATGTCACTGCCATGTCTCTCTGCACGGTGTGTGTCAACAGTTTCTCTTTCATGAGTTGGTCCTTGTGTCATCCAAACAGCATAAAACCTACCTGGCTCTCTTGGTTTTTCACTATAGATTATTGGGGGTGGAAGTTTTTTAAATTATAAATTGTTGAAGCATATGATTCCAGAAGTTTGATGGAGTCCCGTTCCCCCTTGGCAGATTTAGGCTTTGAGTCCTGCCATATCTGGTCCATTTGCCCAGGTCTCTGATGGTGAGTTGGGGTCCACCGCAGCCTCTCAGTTACTAGCAGACAGAGATCTGGTGGGGAGTGAGATGGACCCACCTGAGGACCTGAACCTGGTGTGTTCTCCCCACCGAGGTGGGAAGCACAGGAGAGCAGGGATGCAGTGTTTCCCATCCCCTGATACTATGGCCTAGGGAGTCTGTGCTCTGACCAATAGGACCAGCCTCTCCTCCCCAGAGAGAGAAGTGGTAAGAGATGGGTGAGAGGCACAGTGTTACCCCATCATGGGGAGGAGAGCTGACTTCTCCGCCATGATTAGTAGGAAGGATGGGCGGGACACGCAAAGCCGAGGACCAGAAAGATGAAAGCAGTCATTCGTGACCACACACTAGTGGATGGTAGAGTCTGAATACAAACCCAGATGGGTGTGACTTAAAACCTTAGCCTTTGTGGGAATGGATCTCACTTCCACGATGCCTCCTTCATTGTGAAGACTCACTGGAATGTCATACATTTCTAGTGATAGGGGGCTGTGGGTCAGCTTTCTCTTATGTGTGTAGATGGCCAGGAATTTGATTGTGGATTCATAGACTAAAAACAGGCAGAGGAGAGCCTGGAAAGTAGCCCCAGACTCAGAAGCAACCCCAAGCTTAAGAGGGGATGGGCCCGTGAGACTGTTTCCCAGTTCTCCATCCTTCGCTTTCTACCGTCACTCACTCTGAGATGGCTTGATGTGATGTGACAGCTCATTTCATGGGTCCCAGTAATAATTAATATGGAAAAAATCAATTGACTTGAAAAATTGGGAAACTGGCCTATACCGTATATTATTATTTAGGAACGATGTAGAAACAAAGCTAAAAGTGCCTGCCTGGGAAGAAAATTGGTCCCTCTTGTCTGGTATCTGGAGTTCTGCAGCTCTTGAATGAAGGGGAGGGGGTGGGTCTTACTTATTATCACGTATACTTAAAGAAAAATAATTTGATCAGTGGCCATTCTAAGTGGTTTTTGTGTATCTTTCAGATGTCGCCCATTTAATGTGGTTTGAAAGACTCTATGTTTGGCTTCAGTGTTTTGAAAAATACATCTTGTACCCAGCAATCATTTTGAATGCCCTTACTACGGATGCATTTTCAATAAGCAATTACCGGAGACTTGGTACCCAGTAAGTGGATAACCGTTTATTCTCATCATGATTTGGATCACCACGTTTTCAAAATCGAGTGGGTTTCCTCTGAACAGGCTGCAGCAGAAGCCAACTTCTGTCTACCAATGATGGGCCACGTAACAGTAAGCCATGGTGGTCTCAAACTCGCTGGAGCTAGATGGTTATTGTAGAGGGACTGGGGGGCAAACGAAGTTAGATCTGCTTGGAGTGATCTTGTGAATAAGCATCAGTAGATTTGAAAATCACCCTGCAAACGCTTAGTCAGGAGCCTTAAGAAGATGACCGAAGTGCAGTGTGATTCCAGGGTTCCTGGCATTCCAACCGTCGTGCTTAGAGCTTTATTATGAAGTGCCTCTAGCACTTCACGCAGCAAAGACTCGAGCATTTTGTGTTTGAGGGAGGGGGAACTTAATCACTGTTACTGCTCTCTTTGCATTTCTCAGGAAAAGCCTCATAATTAAAAAAAATGGACTACAGAGAGACTTCATATCAACAAGATGCCTGTTTTTGCAAAGCATTAGCAGCATATAGCTGAGTTAGTGGTTTCATGTTTTAAAAGGAACTCTGAAATTACAAACGGAAACCTACTTGATAATTTGTGGATGTGTTGTTCTGACAAAAGGTTGACATTTCTGTTCAAATAAGTTCATAAAGGAGGATGATGTGAAAGAGGTTCCTTCCCAGATTTGCATATGAGTCACTTTGCTTAAACGTTACGTGCCCAAGTCAACCCTGATTCATAATCCCAAGCATGCCTCCTCTTCCTTTTGGGCTGTGATGAGGGCAAATTAATTAATATTTGCCCAAGATGGAGCAAACTCAGGTAGAAGGCACGCGAATTCTCGGCTGGACCTTGAGTAGATTCATAGTCGCACGAAGCAGACACTAAATGAAATGACCCTACAACCTTCCTGTCTTTATCAGACTCTGCCTTCCTTCCAGCCTAGAGCTGTGTCAGTCAGACCAGGGCAGGAAGTCCACGCCCTTTGGTATTTTAAATCCTAGACTTCGGATCCAGGGACGAAAATTAGTCTCACTGGATGAAGAAGGCAGGTGATGAGGTTACAGACCTCTTGTATAGTTTGAGTAGGGCCCCATCCATGAGCTAACCCTACCTCTAGAACACTGAGTGCTTTTCTAGTAAGCAGGTGTTTCCAGTGTGGTACCATCTTGGCTGACCCCATGACGACATTCTGAAACAAGGCAGATCCCCAGTTTTCAGAACAAGGACTCACAGTCAGAACCACAGCAGTCACACACGTACTGGTGCTGCCCTGGGATAGCGAGCTAAAGGATTGAAAGTCCTCGCTTCCTATCATTAGGACTAGGGCTTCAAGCTAAGCCTGCCAGTTGAGGCCAGGCAGCTCTGGCTGTTGGAAGAGGATGGATGCATGGGTTGGGAATTATGCAGAGTCAGATAAACAGTTCAGAGAGAGTCTACTTTGAAGTAAGATTAATCTCTATCCCCTGTCATTTTTTTCCAGACATTAAAGTCAGAAAGTAGCACCTCACCCATGTACCTCCAAATAATCTTAATTTGATGATACGAACAGAATTCTTTTTCTTGGAGCCCAAAGTTGATAACTCCTTTATATTCTTGAGGCATCCATCTGACGACTTAAAAAAAAATCTCTCAAGATTTCAAGCACCCCACTAGACTAGCTGTTCTCAGACAGGATGGCAGGAGACCATATGTCAGCATCACCTAGAGACCTGTTTCAAACTGTGTAAGCCCAGCCCACACCCTGCCCTCATTGAGAACCATGGTACCAGATAGTGAACTCTTCAATGACAGGCAGTGTTTCTTATTCAGCTTTCAGTACCATCGGTCCAGTAAGTGGTAGAAGGATGGATGGATGGATGGATGGATGGATGGATGATTGAGTGGGGGACTGGTAAATGAAGAGTGGGTGCATCATGATAACTGGTTAGGTATTTATATTTCCCAGCCTGATCTAAAAGGATGCTTTGCACCTGTCCCAGGCCATTGTTCCCGGATTGCTACCTAATCCTTTATAAGACCTTTAGCTAAACCTACAACAATCCGTGAATCATTGAATGTAACCATTACCGTTGCAATGTTACAAGAGCCATAAACGTCACTCCTTAAGAGCTCTCTTAATCTTCACCAGTCATCATTAATAAACATAAAATGAATGCTGTCCATTTCAGTCATAGTCACGGAAAACAAACTTTAGAGTTGAGCCTCATCTAGCTTTGGCCTGAATAACCCGGAAAGTCACTGATCTCCTTTGAAGACCAGAATATCCCTAGTCTTGGGACACCTTATCCTTGGGATCCCCCCAAGGGCTTTGGCTATGCCACAGAGATTCTTGTACCCGGGGCTGTTGTCAGAGGTGAGTGGACCTGCAGTCATGTTTTCATACTGATTTTTCATCACAGGCGTTAGTTGTCCACTGGAGAAGGAAAGGGTCACGGAGCGGTGCTCAGCCTTGCTGCAGGAACAGAGGTTACTGAAGGTCTTACCACTCTCCCCAGACCCGCATGTAATCAAGGGCTAGTTTTTCTTAGAAGCCAAATCTAAGCCCATCACACAAGGGCTTTGACCGAACCGCATCAGATGCATCCTGGGACAGGGTGGAATCGATTGCTACACTAGGTCTGAAGGCATATAAAATATCAAATTGAGGCCAATGGAAGTGCTAACATTAGATCTTCCTGATGACAAAAATGACAGTTTTGTATTCGATAGATGCCAAGACTTGGGAAACACGTTTTGAATGCCCCAGTCCTGAGACAGGATATTATTAGTGCTAGTGAGGGCCTAGAGCTCAGGATCCCGCTAGGATTAGGGAAATGCAGGCCTGCCCCCTCACCCCCATTTTCTGTACTTAGAAAAAGAAAACCTCTCTTTGTGATCAACAACAGGGTCCTGCTGTGCAGCGCAGGGACCTGTATTCACTAGCCTGTGATAAACCATAAAGGAAAAGGGTGAGAAAAAGAGCACATATGTGTGTCGCTGAATCACTGTGCTGCACAGCAGAGATAACACAACACTGTAAACCAACTGTACTTCAGTAAAATTAAAAAGCAAAAAGGAAACCTCTCTTTCAAGTGCAACTGTCCCCTGGAAAGTATTGCCACTTTTGTCTTTCTTTTGAGTTCCCAAATAGGATGTTCTGATTGAGGGGATTCTGGCTCAAATGTGCAAGGCCTTCTTTCAGGAAGACCCCTCAAGGTGGTGGTGGCTTGCCGTGTCCAGCTCTTCTGAGCACTGATCAGTTGCCTTCCCATCTCAAGGTGGGGAGATCGTTGACCTCACCGTCTGCTGGAACTGCACACATGGCACATGCTTCTGACACGCGTTAGTAACCCGACTCCCTAGACAGGAGCATTCAGGAGTTCAGTCCTCACAGCAAAGTCCTGCGGTTTCTCTGCCGGGCTGCCTCTGTCGTGCCCCTTAACTCAAAAGGCCTATGTCATGGGGGCCTGTGTCATGTTGATGATGTAATTTTCAGTGGAAAAAAAAGGGAGAGCGGAAAGCTTATGTTTACAGAGACAGCAAATATGGTGGAAAACATTGGAAGTGAATATGTAAAGTAAAAATGGCATTACTGAGATAGTGGGATCTTTTTCCTCTTTTCAGAATTTAATATTAGCTATCGCTACGTCATTGATTCGGGGAGATTCTTTTGTAATAGGAAGGCTTACACTGAGCAGATGCTAACAGGGACAGCCTGCTGTGTTTCCTCACTTGCCACCAAGCTCCCCGTGGAACCTGGCAGTGCAGTAGTCCTTCAGATAAGCTCCAAGGGAGCTCTGTGGCCTGCATTGCAAAGTCCCGGGGATGATGGTGACGCTGACTCTAGTGGCAGCGTCTGTGTTGGCGAGTCCCTCGGGATGGAGTTTCACTCCTAGCTCCACTCTGTGTGAACGTACACTCAAACTCTGAGACGCAGTTTACTCCTCTGTACAACGAGTATAATAAAGGTCCCAGCATCTTGGCTTTTTGTAAAGCGCATAACGCACAGTAAACGCTCAAGAAGCGTGAGCCATTGTCACTCACCTAGTAAGGTACGGGCTGTGAAGTGATCACTTCCTTTCTTTCCTTTTCAACAGCTGGGACATTTTCCTGATGGTCATAGCGGGCATGAAGCTGCTGCGGACCTCCTTCTGTAACCCAGTCCACCAGTTTACTCACTTGGGCTTCACCGTCATCTTTTTCCATTTCGACTACAAAGACATTTCAGAGAGTTTCTTACTGGATTTCTTCATGGTGTCCATTTTATTCAGCAAGGCAAGTAGATTAGCTCTTTTCTTCATTTCAGTATGTAAAAGGTGCATTTCTCCTCAAATGCTTTAAGAGTTTGAAACATTTTCTTTTAAAAACAATTAAGGCATGAATTTCCATTGAATTGCATATGCGTGTCACACTCCTGCTGCCATTTGAAGAACATTCCCCATGGAATAGAAATATGCCATGTTATTTGCCAAAAATCACTAATTAAGATGAATTAGCCATTTGTGTTGCTTGAAATTTTATGACCTTTGTCTCTGTTAACGATCTTATTACGGAACTTCCTCGATCTCCAAATGCTCTAAATTAAAGATTAGCCACCAGGCTATTTTTTTTTTTTTTTTTTTTTAATTTAGCATTTTGCCTCTTGAGGTAAAGTTGAGATGTGGGACCCGAGGGCCAGGTCCCTTGGAGTATTTTCTTTCCCTTGGCTTGTCTCAGGTCAAGATTTCATCAGCTGTAAATCCATCCATGGGCAGTGAGAAACCCTAATCACAGTTCAGGCAAATATATGGGAATGGCATCTAACGTTTAACATGAGGGAGATAAGGTCCTTGGGATACTGGTCTGAGTGTACGTGTTCTGAGCACCGTGACAAAGCTGGGGTGTGTAAACAGAAATTGGAAAAAGAATTTGGGAAACTCCTTCCTCATGCGCTCCGTTGAATACAGCAGCCATGGGTTTTCTGCCCTCGGATTGACTTAACTGTTCCCCCTTTTGGTTAATAATTTTTAAATTCTAAGGTTTTGTTTTTCTTTTTTCCTGAAATTCATTTTTTCACCCCTATTGATCATTTCTGTGAATTCCTCTCTTTATTACCTGTCCTTCACCTGGCTTCCTCTTTACTTGTTTTAAGTGACAAAAATTCAAATATCATAATTGTCATATTACTTCAGCAGCCCTCCCCTGTTTTCCCATCTTATGACCAAGCTCTGGCTTTGGTCTTTTACCCACAAAGATTTGTTTTCTGTTTGTCTGAGTTCTGTTTGGTCTTGATAAGTTTATCCCATTTTTCTGGTGATTCAGATCACAGGCTTCCATAATCTGTTTTCATTCATTATGTCTGAATGTCCGTGATCTCACATAATAAATGTAAAATTGTCTCCTATGATCTTGAAAGCATTGATGAAGTTATAAATTATTTTACTACTCACAGTGGTCAAAGCTCATTCTCAGATGCAAAATGGACTGGAACAGGTTGAATTCCTAACTGTGGCATTATTTACATGTTGACCTGGTAATGTTGATATTCCTTTCTGAAACGTTGTCTCCTGTAAAGTTGAAAATAATGATGCCCGTCTCACTTAGGCGTCAAGAGGATTGATTAACGTAAGTAGGAAAGAAGTTTTTAAGTAGCGTGTGCTTTCCAAATATGAGGCAGGACTTTTAAAGCCATGTTAAGTAGAAAAAGAGAAGTTACACCCTGTTTAGGACGTGAAGGAGTGCGGCTGCTTCTCTGCAGTGAACTGTCTGTTTTCAGTAGCTTCCTGTGTAAGTGAAAAGTGCCAGGTAAACAAAAGCGGAGTAGAGAGGGGTGCATGAAATGAGTCTTCTAAGTGATTCCACATTGCAATAGAACAGGGATTTTCACTTGCTGGAGGGCAGGCAGCCTCCCCGCTGAGCTGCCTGCTGGTCAGCTGGGAGCCAGCTACTGCTGAGACGTCTGGTAGGTGCAGGTGTCCAGATCAAGAAGCTTGCTGGACGCAGAGGAAGGATTTATGCAGAGCTATTGTTCATTCTTCCTGTCCACGAGGGCACTTTGTACCGTCCTGAGCGTAATGAGTAGGGTGGGACCCGATGGGACATAGTCTGAAACTAAATCCGTAAAAACTCAGTGCTACAGACATCTGACTTTCACTTGCCATTATGTTTTTAAAGCACCAGTGAAAACACTAAAAATTTCAGGCAGAACCAGTGTGACAGTGTTCCTGTTTCCCCTAATTGAGAGAGCATTAGCACGTGTAATTTGAATAGTCGGCTTTTAGGCTGGGAAAAATAGCCGAGTCTAAAAGAAAAAAAAACAAGTGAGACAAAAACTAAAAAAAATCAGCATATAGCAAGTCAGTCCTGACACACCCCTGACTCCGTCTATGCCTGCTCACTCTTTATCTTGACAGAGCTGGTAGCAGGGCATTTTCTGGAATGAGAAACCAGATCTGATTCCGACAAAAAATACAGTTAAAGAAAGAGACAGCATTTGAGGTCTTCTGGGAAAGAAAAGCCAGTAGAAATTAGTGACAGAAAATGGTGGCAATGAGGGAGGTGACAGTTAATGTTTCTTGTAAAGATCCTGCCTGCTTACCCCAACTGCTGCTTCCTGTTCATTCTCCTCATTTTAAGGCATCTTTTAAAAAATTGTCTCTATTAACATATTTCCTAGAGGCTTTCTAGACCTCCAGTATTTTTAACATCTTTATTGGAGTATAATTGCTTTACAATAGTGTGTTAGTTTCTGCTGTATAACAAAGTGAATCAGCTATATGTATACATATATCCCCATATCTCCTCCCTCTTGCATCTCCCTCCCTCCCACCCTCCCTATCCCACGCCTCTAGGTGGTCACAAAGCACCGAGCTGATCTCCCTGTGCTATGTAGCTGCTTCCCACTAGCTATTTTACATTTAGTAGTGTATATATGTCCATGCCACTCTCTCACTTCGTCCCAGCTTACCCTTCTCCCTCCCCGTGTTCTCAAGTCCACTTTCTATGTCTGCGTCTTTATTCCTGTTCTGCCCCTAGGTTCTTCAGAACCCCTTTTTTATTAGATTCCATATATATGTGTTAGCATACGGTATTTGTCTTTCTCTTTCTGACTTGCTTCACTCTGTATGACAGACTCTAGGTCCATCCACCTCACTACAAATAGCTCAATTTCATTTCTTCTTATGGCTGAGTAATACTCCATTGTATATATGTGTCACATCTTCTTTGTCCTTTCATCTGTCGATGGACACTTAGGTTGCTTCCATGTCCTGGCTATTGTAAATAGAGCTGCAGTGAACATTGTGGTACATGACTCTTTTTGAATTATGGTTTTCTCAGGGTATATGCCCAGTAGTGGGATTGCTGGGTCATATGGTAGTTCTATATTTAGTTTTTAAAGGAATCTCCATACTGTTCTCCATAGTGACTGTATCAATTTACATTCCCACCAACAGTGCAAGAGGGTTCCCTTTTCTCCACACCCTCTCCAGCATTTATTGTTTGTAGATTTTTTGATGATGGCCATTCTGACTGGTGTGAGGTGATACCTCATTGTAGTTTTGATTTGCATTTCTCTAATGATCAGTGATGTTGAGCATCCTTTCATGTGTTTGTTGGCAAAGTATATCTTTTTTGGAGAAATGTCTATTTAGATCATCTGCCCATTTTTGGATTGGGTTCTTTGTTTTTTTGATATTGAGCTGCATGTATATTTTGGGGATTAATTCTTTGTCAGTTGCTTCATTTTCATATATTTTCTCCCATTCTGAGGGTTGTCTTTTCGCCCTGTTTATGGTTTCCTTTGCTGTGCAAAAGCTTTTAAATTTCATTAGGTCCCATTTGTTTATTTTTGTTTTTATTTCCATTTCTCTAGGAGGTGGGTCAAAAAGGACCTTGCTGTGATTGATGTCACAGAGTGTTCTGCCTATGTTTTCCTCTAAGAGTTTTATGGTGTCTGGCCATACATTTAGGTCTTTAATCCATTTTGAGTTTACTTTTGTGTATGGTATTAGGGAGTGTTCTAATTTCATTCTTTTACATGTAGCTGTCCAGTTTTTCCAGCACCACTTATTGAAGAGGCTGTCTTTTCTCCATTGTATATTCTTGCCTCCTTTATCAAAAATAAGGTGTCCATATGTGCATGGGTTTACCTCTGGGCTTTCTATCCTGTTCCACTGATCTATATTTCTGTTTTTGTGCCAGTACCATACTGTCTTGACTACTGTAGCTTTGTAGTATAGTCTGAAGTCCGGGAGCCTGATTCCTCCAGCTCCGTTTTTTTCTCTCAAGATTGCTTTGGTTACTGGGGTCTTTTGTGTTTCCATACAAATTGTGAAATTTTTTGTTCTAGTTCTGTGAAAAATGCCATTGGTAGTTTGACAGGGATTGCATTGAATCTGTAGATTGCTTTGGGTAGTATAGTCATTTTCACAATGTTGATTCTTCCAACCCAAGAAGGTAGTATATCTCTCCACCTCTTTGTATCATCTTTAATTTCTTTCATCAGTGTCTTATAGTTTTCTGCATACAGGTCTTTTGTCTCCTTAGGTAGGTTTATTCCTAGGTATTTTATTCTTTTTGTTGCAGTGGTAAATGGGAGTGTTTCCTTAATTTCTCTTTCAGATTTTTCATCATTAGTGTATAGGAATGCAAGAGATTTCTGTGCATTAATTTTGTATCCTGCTACTTTACCAAATTCATTGATTAGCTCTAGTAGTTTTCTGGTAGCATCTTTAGGATTCTCTATGTATAGTATCATGTCATCTGCAAACAGTGACAGCTTTACTTCTTCTTTTCCGATCTGGATTCCTTTTATTTCTTTTTCTTCTCTGATTGCTGTGGCTAAAACTTCCAAAACTATGTTGAATAATAGTGGTGAGAGTGGACAACCTCGTCTTTTTCCAGGTCTTTGAGGAAATGGTTTCAGTTTTTCACCATTGAGAGTGATGTTGGCTGTGGGTTTGTCATATATGGCCTTTATTATGTTGAGGTAAGTTCCCTCTGTGCCTACTTTCTGGAGGGTTTTTATCATGAATGGGTGTTGAATTTTGTCAAAAGCTTTTTCTGCATCTATTGAGATGATCACGTAGTTTTTCTCCTTCAGTTTGTTAATATGGTGTATCACGTTGATTGACTTGCGTAGAAACCTCCAATATTGTTTTTGAGGGAATACTGCTCTTTAGGGGTGTTCATTGCGTGATATGAAATTTTGTTTGTTCAGTAGATTCATCCGAGTCCTACTTTCGACATGTCCTCTCATTTATTGTTGCCAAATCCCTAAGCTCTTTCCCCAGCCT